CACTGCACCATTATGCATGGCCTTACTCTCCACCACTGCACCAACATACATGACCTTACTCCACCACTGCACCATTATGCATGACCTTACTCTCCACCACTGCACCATTATGCATGACCTTACTCCACCACTGCACCATTATGCATGACCTTACTCCACCACTGCACCATTATGCATGACCCTACTCTCCAACAGTGCACCAACATACATGACCTTACTCTCCCCCACTGCACCATTATGCATGACCTTACTCCACCACTGCACCAACATACATGACCCTACTCTCCACCAGTGCACCAACATACATGACCTTACTCTCCACCACTGCACCATTATGCATGACCTTACTCCACCACTGCACCAACATACATGACCCTACTCTCCACCACTGCACCAACATACATGACCTTACTCTCCACCACTGCACCATTATGCATGACCTTACTCCACCACTGCACCAACATACATGACCCTACTCTCCACCACTGCACCAACATACATGACCTTACTCTCCACCTGCTCTGCTGTAAAGTTTTTTAACGCATAAACTTTATTAGTCATGTTCTTCCACTTAGGAAACATATCGGCAGACATTCCGCTCTGTCCCTTGTATTGTGCTGTAAGAGCTTTGGAAGGAGTTTCAGCACCTCTGTTGGCGGAGAGCTCCCTGTACATTAGATGTCTGTCATCCGGACAGCTGCTGCCTTTCAGAATCCAGAATTCATGTTACATAAATGAAAATGTACAATGAGCTGACATGCTGATCATCGGTGAGCCGGTGTGTCCCGACAATGGCCCCCAAATGTCTATGCAAATTACGGCCACTAGAAGGTCCGACTGATATTCATTAGAATCCAGCCTAGTGGGCCAGTGAGGAGCCCCCGGGGGGATACTATCTGACACTGAGAGACTGAGGGGGCAATCTATCTATCTATCTATCTATCTATCTATCTATCTATCTATTATCTATCGATGATCTATCTATCTATCTATCTATCTATCTATCTATCTATCGATGATCTATCTATCTGTCTATCTATCTATCTATCTATCTATCTATCTATCTATCTATCTATCTATCTATCGATGATCTATCTATCTATCTATCTATCTATCTATCTATCTATCTATCTATCTATCTATCTATCTCTCTCTCTATCTATCTATCTATCTATCTATCTATCTATCTATCTATCTATCTGTCTGTCTTTCTATTATCTTTCTATCTATACATCCAGCTATCTATATATGATCTTTCTTTCTTTCTTTCTTTCTTTCTTTCTTTCTTTCTTTCTTTCTTTCTTTCTCATATTATCTACCTCTTTATCTATCTTCAGTCAATATTACATCTATTTGTTTCATCGATCTTTAATCCAATACATTCCAATCTATCATCATAATACTTTTCCAAAACCGTCCTTCTTCCTCACTTTCGTCATCCTGTTTTTCTCCCTATTCCCCCTTCATCTAATAATAATGGGGACGCTGTTAATGTCACCTATGACGTTGATCTCTCCCATTGTTCCATTC